CTATAAAATAACAGAGTTGGAAGGGACCTTGGAGGTCTTCTAGTCCAGCCCCATGCTCACGCAGGGGATCCTACATCATTGCAAACAAACGGCTGTCCAGTCTCCTCTTAAAAACCTCCAGTGATTAAACACCCCACAACTTCTGGTGGCAAGCAGTTCCACTGGTTCTCATCGTTCTCATTGTCAGCAAATTCCTCCTCCGTATATCGAATGGAAAGCTCAGAATATAGAATATAATATAACAGGTCTGGGAAGGGACCTTGGAGGTCTTCTAGTCCAACCCCCTGAGCAAGCAGGAGACCCTATTTAAAAACCTCCAGTTATGAAGCACCCTCAACTTCCGGTGGCAGGTCGTTCCGCTGATTTATTGCTCTCCCTGCCAGGAATATCTCCCCCCTCCTTTCCTCCCTCCCTGCACCGTTCCCGGGGGTCTCACCCGAGCACGGTTGTTGCGCGCAGCGTTGGCACTTCGCAGGGGCTCCTGGTCGGTGTCCTCGTCGGAGGCCACGCTGTCGTAGTCGTGTTGGTCGTCCAAGTCGCTGGTCCCGTGGACGGAGGAGTCGAAGGCCTCTGTAGCAACAACCAAGGTGTTAACCCCCCCTACACACACACCCCAAGATCCCTCTGCCCACAGCACCCCCCCCTCTCTCTCCAGACTGACCAGTGGGGCTGGTCAGACCTTTGCCCTGCTGGCGCCGTTTGGCTTCGCTCAGGATGTCGATGATGAGGGTGGCAAACTCCCGGGCGTTGAAACGGGCCAGCTTCTGCCGTCCCTGTGGGCAAGGGAGGAAAGGAGGTGGTCAGACCGAAGCTCTCCACTCCCCCAAGAAGCGGCTGTCTAGATTCTAGCAGTGACCCCCATTTAAATCATGAATCTCGAGCCAAACTTCCAAAACTTCCAAAGGATTTATTGGGAGTGAACATGTCCGGCAATGCCTGGGTGCAGCCGACTCCGAGGCACATCATTCACTGCCACCTTGACCCTGGTTTTCCCTCCACCCCCTGGGTGTTATTGTAATTCACATCCTCCAATGGGACACCTCCATAGCCCAGAGTCATCAATCAGGCTCTCCAGTTAGAATTTTGCACGGCAGAAACTTCGGTCACCTAGTTACTATCTTTGAAAAAAAACATTTATGAAATGCACTTTCGGTTTGCCAGCTGCCACACTGCTCCCCCCCTCTCTTTCTGTTGGCAACTCTAAAAAGACCCTAGAAATATTTTAATGAGTTGACAGGAGCATGGAGACCACCCAAACCTTCGCTCACAAGGCTCAACGTTGAGCATGTGCCCAAAATCCGTCGGAGGTACGGAGAGAGGGAGGTGAGCCAGAGCAGCTATTAAGAATAAAGGGTTAGGTGCAAAAACATCAAGTCCATACGTGAACGTCCAGTTAAAACGGATTTATGGCTTAAAAGAAGGGGGGGACACGGCGGCTCGGTGGCTAAGACGCTGAGCGTGTCTGTTGAGGTAATTCCCCGTTAGGAGAATGAGTGCACACAGGGAGACGTAGTGAGAGTGATGTTGAATAACACACGACCAGCACACAGATACACTGAATAGCAAAATGTAGGTTTTACTTCCAGTAAACGGTTAAGCAAAGTCCAACAAACAGTCCAAGTCATACACGGTTAAAGTAGTCAGTATTCAATCCAGGGATAATCCAAATGACAAAGTCCAGTATCATAAACAGTTCAGTAAAAGAATCACAGCCATCCAAGAAGAACGACGATCAGCAACAGTTAACAGGGAACCAAAAACAGCGAACATCAGAACATCGACCAACTAGCAACTACCAACAACAGAACAGAACAACCCAGGTTTCTGTCTCCATCTTATGGCCATTTGAGGAACCACACCCAATTACAATTTTAGCATTCCCTTAAAGAGGCAGTATTGAATGTCTATCCTGGTTTATATATTTCCAACCCAACTGTTAGGTGACTATCAATTCCTAACAGTGTCGATCAGAAAGGTCGGCAGTTTGGTGGTTCAAATCCCTAGCGCCATATAATGGAGTGAGCTCCTGTTCCTTGTCCCGGCTTCTGCCAACCTAGCGGTTCAAAAGCAGGTAAAAAAAATGCAAGTAGAAAAATAGGGACCCCTTTGGTGGGAAGGGAACAGCGTTCCGTGCGCCTTCGAAGGCGTTGAGTCCTGCTGGCCACATGACCACGGAGACGTCTTTGGACAGCGCTGGCTTTTCAGCTTTGTAACAGAGATGAGAAGCGCCCCCTAGAGCCGGAAACAACCAGCACATGTGTGCAAGGGGAACCTTCACCTTATGGCTAAAAGGGATCCCTACACAGGGATCTTCTCAACTCACAGTCAGCACCCGCCTCCCGGAGTTAGATGGCGCTCAACGGAATGCAAAAAGAAGGTTGGACTTAATTCGCCTGTGGCTATGTAGGGATTTTGGGTGGTTGCCTCTCTTGACTCCACATATGCTTCTGAAACTCTGAAAATCTAAAGACAGCCAGGATTGGGACATGTCTGCTTCCCGGGGGTCTCGGTGAAGAGTGGTCGAAAAAGTCAAGATGATGGAGAGAGAGAAAGAGACAGATAGATATGACAGATAGGTGGTTGATAGATAGATAAAGATAGATAATAAAGGGAGGAAGAGAGATACTGTAGACAGAAAGATAGAAAAATGAGAGAGAGAGAGAGAGAGAGAGAAGTAGATACATAGGTAGAAATACATACGTGTGTGTATGTATAGATAGATAGAGATAGAGATAGAGACAGACAGATAGATAGATGATAGCTAATAGATATTGAAGAGAGAGAGATATAGATAGAAAGACAGAAAAATGAGAGAGAGAAATAGATACATAGGTACAAATACATATGTGTGTTTGTGTATGGAGAGACAGAAATATAGATTTTCACGAGTACAGGTATGTAGGTCTAGGTGTGTTAAGAGTATTTTGGCGACGTTTCGGCGAGGTCCCACTCACCATCCTCAGGCTGGTGCTTTCGGCTTCGTGCCAGTGCAAGCAGTGTGTGATCGGAGCTGCCGTCTCTCTATAAATATTGGTGGGGGGGGCTGGTGTGCTGGGCTGGTTGGCTGCGCTGCTGCCTCTTGATTGGTTGATGGAGTTGATGTTGGTATAATGGGCTGTGTGATGGCCTTGTGAGTTTTGTTGTGGAGATATCCTGGATCTTGTGCTGTAATCTCCTGGGTCGTTTGTTTTGTAGTGATCTTTTTTTCCATTAGCCTCTCGTGTTTTAATGGCTTGGGTAATGGGTTGTGTGATGGGCTTGCGAGTTCTTTTGTTGTGGTATCCTGGGTCCTGCGTTGTAATCTCCTGGGTCATTTGTGTTTTGATCTCTTTTCCATTAGCCTTCTGTGCAGTAACAGCTTGGGTAATGGGTTGTGAATGGGAAAAGACCAAAACACACCTAGACCTACATACCTGTACCCGTGAAAATCTACGAAAACATATATATATATATGTTTTCTTAAGTTTTCGCGGGTACTTACATGTATGAGCCCTGGCTAATGCCACCCTCAAACTATGGTTAAGATACATCGATGACACATTTGTGATTTGGCCCCATGGAAAAGAAAACCTAAACAATTTCCTAACACACCTAAACAGCACACACCCCAAAATCAAATTCACCATGGAAACGGAAACAAACAAACAACTACCATTCCTAGATGTACTAATTTACAAAAAAAACAGATGGCACACTAGGACACACCATATACCAGAAGAAAACACACACCAACTGCTACCTCAACGCCCAATCCCACCACCACCCAGCACAGATAAACTCCGTGGCTAAAACACTAATCGCCAGAACCAAACGACTGGCAGACAAGACACACATAAAGACTGAACTATGCACCCTGACTAAAATATTGACAGCCAACGGCTTCCACAAAAGCAAAATCACAGGCCTGATCCACAAAAACACACTGAGACATAATGGAGACCTAGAAGATGAACAGACCTATGGAACAGCTGTCCTGCCCTACATAAGAGGTACTACAGACAAAATCAGTAAGATACCACACAGGCATCACATCAAGACTGCCTTCAAAACAGACAGAAAAATAGCAGCCATCCTTAGAAACCCCAAAGATAAAATTGACCTGGAAAACCAAGGCATATACGAAGTCCCCTGTGCATCATGCCCGGCCACATACATTGGACAGACCAATTGAAGAATAAGGACCCGCCTGGATGAACACAAAAATGCAGTCAAAAAGCTGGAACACACTTCCTCACTAGTCCAACACATGGAAGCCACAGGTCATAGCATCAACTTCAATGGCACCAAAACCCTAGCCACTATAGAAAACCCCAGCCACAGAATCATCAGAGAAGCCATAGAGATTGAAAAAAGACCTGAAAGCATGAATAGAAGAGATGATTCCACCAGGCTGTCAATCATTTGGAAGCCTGCACTCTCAAAACAAAAAAATCTCCACACCACAAGCCAGGCAAATACCTGGGCACAAACAGATCCCCCCTGATACCTCCAGCTCAAACACACCCCAACCAGGCACCCAGATGAAACCTACCTTCCTAATAAAATGATAGCCGTCCATTTACTCAGAGCCAAGCCGCACTAAAAATCTCCAATACAGGAACACAATGTTGCCAGCCAACATTGTTGCCAAGACAATAAAAGCCACAAAACAGACAGAAGATATTAGAGACACCAATCAAGCAGAACACAGCCAACTCCAAGACCAATAAACACAGACCAAGACTCCCAACCAATCAGTATAAAGAAAAAACTATTCTGGCACAGCAGTAGGCTAGCCCCAAATTTAAAACTGGAACCACTGTAAAAGTCTGACTCACAGACAAACACAATACAGAAGCCTGATGATGGCAGATGAGATTCTGCCGAAACGTTGCTACAACTTTAAAAGCACAACTACAATGACGTGGGAAAATACCCGAACAAAGCTGAATGCCATACATGTAAGTACCCGCGAAAACTTAAGAATATATATATATATTCTTGCGCCGCCTTTAGTTATGTGCGCTCCGCTCTCTGGGCATCTCCGTGTGATCGTGACCCTGTCCTTTCCACCTGGCGCCCTTGCTGCTTTCTGGCTCTTTAGCGACCGGCTTCGCGTTTGGAACACGTTCGCGTTTGGAGTTGGTTTGGGGAGTACAAGGCGGCATCTGCGCCTCTTCCCGGGCGCGTCTCTAGGCTGCTTCCGGAGCTACGGGACGCTCTCCGTTGCCTACCGGCCCTTCTTTCTTGGGCTGCCTGCCGTGGGGTACACCCACTTCCTCCTGCAAATTACGCCTCGCAACTCTTCTCTCCCTTTCCTCTCGCTCCAAAAAGATTGCCATCGTATCCCGCCGATTCGGGCTTCCAGCCACGTTGTGATCCACTAGTGAGGTTGCCATCTCGGACGGAGGCATCGCAGTCTCCCTCTCTTGCTCGCTCTGAACTTCGCGCGGACCAAAATAAAAAGATCGCCCGCCGTCATGTTTGGAGCTGCCACTTCCGCGTTTGGAGCTCCAAATGGCGGCGGCACTCCAAACACGGAAGCGCCAGCTGCAAACGTGGTGGCGGAATGGGCAGAAGGGAAAGCAACAGCGGCGGGTGCCAAAGGTGTCTGCAGCAAAGGTGGGAGTAGGGAGCTCTCTGCGCTTCGCCATGATCGCTCGTTAGGAGCAGCTGTTGGCGAGGATGCAAGGGGGTGGAATTAAGTCACCCCCCGAAAAGACGGCCTAGCCGTTTTTTCGGGGCTGAAAAAAATAAGGCCCGGCCTTATTATGTGAGAAACACGGTAGATATATAGGTAGAAATACATACATGTGTGTCTTTGTATGGAGAGACAGAAAGAGAGAGCGAAATGACAGATAGACATGATAGATAGATGATAGAGAGATAGAGAGATGGAAATAGACAGATGATAGGTAGATAATTGATAAATATAGATGATAGATAATGATACATAATAGATAATGAAGAGAGAGATATGTAGATAGAAAGACAGAAAAATGAGAGAGGGAAATAGAGATAGGTAGATACATAGGTAGAAATACATATATATGTCTGTGTATGGCGAGAGAGAGAGAAATGACAGATTAACAGAACGATGATACAGATAGATAAATGAGAGAGAGAGAGACAGACAGACAGACAGACGATAGGGAGAGAGAAAGGGAAAGGGAGGGGGAGAGAGAGAGAGAGAGACAATAACCTGATTCCGTGTGGCTGAATATTCGGGATTCACCGGCAGGAAGGGCACAGCGCTGCGCTCCGTCACCAGAGTGCTGTGGTTCTGCGTGGTCAGCCAGACTTTTGAGGGGTGAGAAAGCAGAGAAGAAGCAGCCACCGTTAGGTCAAAGCGCCAACCTTCTTCCCTGTCAGCCGCCCCGGAATTTGGACAGGGCCCGGGGGGGTGGGGGAGGGAGGGTCCCCCATTTGGCCAAGAAACCTGCATATGGCGCCGAAGGGTTTTTGACGAGCCTGTGCAAGTTTCTAGTCCTTAATCCTTGCAAGAACAGAGCCGCTCCCCCAAAAAACAGATTCAAGCTTTTACCGGCGTCGTTTTCGCGGCGATCCACTTCGTCGTAGACGTCCATCGCGAGCTCTTCGAAAAGGTGGTTGCTTAGCTATTTGGGGGAACGGGGGAGAGGGAGGAACATTCAGCTTTTGGTTTAATTTAAGGAGGGGGTTTGGGGCACGGGGGCTTTGGCTGTGGGGGGGTGGGCTTGGGTGCCAGGGAGCAGGTATAATGGGCCCCTTCCGAAGATGGGCAGAACGAGGTCTCAAGGTTGCGAAACTTCCCAGAATGAATAGAAATGGCAGAGTTTTGTGAGACTTATTGGAGATTACATTACACACCCAATTTGAAAGACCTTTTCGGGCTGATGTATCACCTTGAGGGCTTTAAGAGGGGTGGGCTTCCACTCCCAGAATCCCCCAGCCAGCCTGCTTTAAGAGGGGTGGGCTTCCACTCCCAGAATCCCCCAGCCAGCCTGCTTTAAGAAGGGTGGGCTTCCACTCCCAGAATCCCCCAGCCAGACTGCTTTAAGAAGGGTGGGCTTCCACTCCCAGAATCCCCCAGCCAGCCTGCTTTAAGATGGACAGACTTCCACTCCCAGAATCCCCCAGCTATTATGCCTTGAGAGGGGTGGGCTTCCACTCCCAGAATCTTTAAGAGGGGTGGGCTTCCACTCCCAGAATCCCCCAGCTATTATGCCTTGAGAGGGGTGGGCTTCCACTCCCAGAATCTTTAAGAGGGGTGGGCTTCCACTCCCAGAATCCCCCAGCCAGTGTGCTTTGGGGTGGGTGAGTTCAATTCTGGGAGTTGAAGTCCACCCCTCTTAAAGCTACTAACAGTGGGACACACTGGTTAAATTGCTTTTTTCTGCACGTTGCAGAGGGATGGAATAGATGATCTTATGGGATCCTTCCAGGGGTCATTCACACCAGTGTTAAATTATGCCCCGCTGAATGGGGAAGGGAAGGTGGGGAAGTGTGGATGGACAGAAAGGGGATGTTGTATGTTGGTTTTAAAATGTTATATGTTGGTTTCCCAAACTCAGTGCCTTGAAAATGTGTGGACTTCAACTCCCAGAATTCCCCCCGGGGGGGTGGAATTCTGGGAATTGAAGTCCCCTCCTCTTCAAGCAGCCCAAAGTGAGAAATGCTGCCTTAGAAACCTCACTTGGCCCACATTAAAGGATAGGAAAGGTGGCCACGAGGAGAGCCCAGCCTGAGGAGGGTCTTGAGTTCGAAAACCACCTCACTTACCGCCTGCAACTTCTTCTTCGCCGCCTTGGCCAGCTCCGAAAGATCTAAGCTGGGGGGGGGGGGGGGGGCAGGAGAAAGATGGATCAACGCCCCTGTCCCGTTGCTCCTCCCCACTGGATGCCCCCCACCCCAATTCAGGAACCCCATTCAAATCTCTGGGATCCCCCCAGTGAAGAAAGACATTAATTTAGAGGGGAAACGAAGAAAAGAAGGAGACAGTCAGTGGTGGGTCGATGGATGGAGATGGAAGATCTCCCATTAGAGAAAGAAAGCCAGTTTGGTCCAGAGGTTGAGGTACCAGGCTGGAAAGCAGGAGATTGGGAGTTCTAGTCCTGCCTTAGTCACGAAAACCAGCTAGATGACTTTGGGCCAAACACCAGGCGACTGGGAGTTCTAGTCCCGCCATAGGCATGAAAGCCAGCTGGGTGACTCTGGGCCAAACACCAGGTGACAGGGAGTTCTAGACCTGCCTTAGTCACGAAAATCAGCTAAATGACTTTGGGCCAAACACCAGGCGACTGGGAGTTCTAGTCCCGCCATAAGCATGAAAGCCAGCTGGGTGACTCTGGGCCAATTACCAGGAGACGCTGAGTTCTAGTCCCACCTTAACTATGAAAGCCAGCTGGCTGACTTCTAACCAGTTCCCCCCACTCTTTCTGACATCCCAACCCAACCTCACAGGGGTGTTGTTGTGGCGAAAATAGAAGGAGGAAGAAAAACTGTCAGATCTATTTGCCACCTGGACTTCTTTGTCAAAATCATAAACGGCGGGATCCAAATAAACAAATGAACAAAAACACAAATACAGAAATGAACAAATATATAAATGAACCAATACAGAAATGAGCAAATGACCACATAAACAATTGGACAAATACACAAATGAGCAAATGACCACATAAACAAATAGACAA